ACAAGTATGTGCAAATCGAAGTTAGAGAAAAACCTATTTTTAAACCTAGTCTACCGTGATTTTTCGACAACTGGAATGCTACACACATCTTTATTATTTATTCTAGACTTCTAGATTTTCACTTTAGAGACCAGTGTTGGCTGGCGCCATTGTCGTTCCTCACGGGACGATACAGATTATGCTTTTCAGAGCCCATTGCTTTCAGTATAATGGACTAAGTTGGTACGCAGCAAATTAAGGAAGGAAAGATATTTGCACAGACAACTCGTTTTGGAAATTCTGACCAATCCTGCCAGAGTTATACTAACACCTAACAGCTAAAGTAATAACATTCTGGGCAGACATCCACTCTCAATTTCGCTATTCCGGCCTTATACTCCTTCTAGATTATATTTTCCTTTTTCCTAGAAAGTGAGCCAGCCACAATTCCAAAGGAAAAGTCCAAATGTGGCTTATGTGCAAGTTTAATGACGTCAAATTAGCAGGAAGAACGCCTTTAGTGTTGCAAATCGCATTTGTAGCCATTTCCACGCTCAGCTTGACTTGTATGTATGTTACTGCGCTTTTCACAAACATGCGAACTCTAAAGTTCAAAAGCCGCCTTCACAATTGCGTTTTTTGCTGCGTCAATCATAATTACGATCACAAGCAACGAACCTTGAAACACAGAAACACACAAAACGGATCGAAATTCACCAATCACAAATCAGAAACCATGACCTTTTGAACCCGTTAAAGTAAAGTTTTGTGTCCTAAGAGGTCCGTTAAGATGATTGACGGCAGCGAAAAACGCAATCGTCAGTTGGCTTTTGAACTTCAGAATTCGCATGTTTGTGAAAAGCGCAGTAAGGCTTAGATTCGACGTAAGAATAAGTTTGTTTCAGTCGTAAACTTAGCAGAATTAACATTTGACGTTTTTGATCGTACAAGAGTGACATGTACCGTCAAGTAATTTTCCGCTCTTGATGACGTCACAAAACGCGTTTCTTCAAATGGCGTACATTTGCGCATTAAAAATGTGAAACTTTTCGATATCAAAATGGTCTAAAGAAATATTTTAAACATGATTCTGCCTTTTAACGCGGTATTCATTGCATTGGCCCCTGGCTATTAGAATGTTTGTTAAGTCACATGACCTGTTTTACTTAACTGACGGTTTCTGATAACTTAAGGAGATGATTAAAAGGCAGCACTCTAAAACCCTTGCAATGAGCCATAGAAAAAATGATAAAATATGGCGAATACACTCCGAGTAAGTATTCCCCATTTTCGTCGAAACATTTTGACCGTTACAAGGCGAAAGTTAGTCACGTGACTTGGACAGACAATGAAAAAGCTCATCAAGTGGATTCAAACGTGGAAAGGAAACTGCATGCCAAGTTTCACAAAGATGAGATAAAGCTTTCTACTTGAAATCAAAACCCACTACAAAATTCGTGGTTGAGTCAAGCCTTAACATTTATGGAGTGCCACAAGGTAGCAAAACTAAATGCAAGGATGGTAATACGGCAGAGGGCTGATTTATCTGAGGCCAATATTCGGCGAATAAAAAGAACAAAATTAGCCTTCCTTAGGGCCAGAGCTACATAACGGCCTCTGCCCTATGCCAGCCTTTAATTTAGTTTTGTTTTAACTCCCAGTTCAAGTGACGTCTAGCATTAGCATCTCTACATTAGTGATCCGGCAAGAAAGAACCAGTTTGGTTTTATTTACGCGTTGAGTGGACCTCTGCATTCAAGGGTTTTTCGCATTTTAGGTCCGTTGTGTTTTTACTTCTACTCCATTTGGCTTCCAAGTCCGCAACACAGCTTCCTCAGTGCTGTGTGGACACAATGCGTGGATGATACTAAATTAATATTTAAATCTCAAGTACACTGATCTCAATACAGACTCAGGCAAATTCCATTGCAGGGACGGATCTAGGGGGAGGGTGCAGGGGGTGCGCACCCCCACTGAGATGACCTGCGGTTTTCTAATACAACTGGTATTCTGCAAAAAAACAAAAAAAAACCTACGTGGTTTATTGGCACCCCCTCCTAAAAAAAATCCTGGATCCGCCCTTGCATTGCTAAATCTAATGAAGACAATATGCAAAATTAGTGACTGAACCTTTATATAGAATCAAATCCTCATTAGCCGTGATATAACTGAGCTCATTATCTTTAGGAAGCAGAGCGATAGTCAGTAAAGCAGAGGATTTCCGCCTAATCTTGCTGGGAAAGGAAATTACACCCGTTGCTTCTGCCCAGGAAGTGCTTTTTTTCTAGATTCCAGGCTAAAATACAACAATCACGTTCGGCTTTTACGGTGTCCAGCTGCATGGCGAGGTTAGGAAAAATCAACCGAGTTAAAGAAGGTTTCGGCACGAATACTTGACCATCATAATCAATGCTTTCTCGTTTTCAGAAAGCTATATCACCGTTGCAATGTCTCAGAGCAACATCTCGGAGCACAATCTGAATGTAATCGGACTCTTTATTTTCTTTATTTTCTAAGTATA